CTGATTGGCTTCTTACAACAGCCCTTGCAATGCTATTGGAGGAGAAATTTCCAAGGTAAATTGACAAAGGGTGAAAGAAAGGGAAAATGAAAGAAGGAATCATGAAAAAACATGATACTTCAATCTCTCTCTCTTTCATCAAATTAAAGGGTCATGTTTTCATGGCTCTCTTCCAAAAAGTGATGAAAGAACATGGAAATGAAAATAAGAACCTCTTTCATGTTTTCCCATTTGTACTGACATGGAAGTCTCATCCCTATCCGACTCTATTTCCTGACCATTCACCATGGTACTAGACACTGTTGGAAATTGCACTATGAAACTTCTGAAGAACACCAGATTGTGAAAGGCTGCTGTGAATACTGTCATGGGAATGGATTTGGTGAGGCTTACATCTGAGTAAAGATACATTAGGCTGTAACTTTATGTGAATGCTACCAAAGAGTAGGGAGCACATTATTTTTGAAAATCGTTGAATGTTGGGTAGTGTGTATTTACGCAAAGGTTAGAAGTCACAAGATCTTCTGAGCTCATAGTCCCTTTAGCTGGAATAATCTGTTTTATCATGGTTTGTGAGCAGCTGAAAAAGTTATCTTACTGTACTTGCAGTTGTGGCTACTTAAGGTAGGCTGAATAATTGAGCAACAATTTTAGATTTACATGCTGTGTTGAAATGCATATATTATTTGAGTTAATTTGGGTCTCTAACATGTACGTTTGTTTGTTGTATATGTGAGAGAAAAACCTGGTGTAGAACTTTGGGAAAGAACAAGTATATAAAGGGTACTTTAGTCATGTGGAATTCTTGATGAACCAAAATTCTCCTTCCTTCCTTCCTTCCTTCACCTACCTACCTACCTACCTACCTACCTACCTACCTACCTACCTACCTACCTACCTACCTACCTACCTACCTACCTACCTACCTACCTACCTACCTACCTACCTACCTACCTACCTACCTACCTACCTACCTACCTACCTACCTACCTACCTATCAGAACTTTGCACAATTTAAAATTATGGACATGTATGAAATATAGATAAAAATAAAAATAAAGTAAAATGTTAAGACAATTAGTCTATTTTTGACTGAAAGCAGACTGTTTAGTAGCGTTATCTTTGCCATTTGTTAGATCTTCTGGATGTGGTGGGGCTTAAATTGCATGCACATAAGTGTTACACTGATTGGATTTCTCCACAGTCACAAAAAATGTCCTGTATCTAAGCCATTTTACTTGGTTATTGTTTGATCTTCCTGCTTCACTTCGAAGTCTAAATGACTCCCAGATGGTCCAGCTAGAGTCTTGTCCTGGTGGGAGACACTCTTCAGTATTCATCCATTTGGCAGAATGTGTTGTTTTAATTTTCCATAGGTTTACTCTTGTTTCTTCCAATTTAGTTTTTAAAGCTTGAGATGTGTGTAAAAAACGTTTCCTCTATTTTAGCCATTGACTAGGGGATTGATGAGCATGAAGTGGATGGGTTTGGTACTGTGTTTCCTTATTTCGTTCATTTGCTAGTGTGCTGGACTATCTGAGGTGCAATGGCAGCCAAATAAGGGACTTCTTCAGTGGGGGCAAATTTCAGGCAGCCAGTGACAATCCTGCATGATTCATTAAGAGCTACATCCATTTATTTGTTACGAGCTGATTTCCTGTATATACTCGAGTTTAAGCCTAGTTTTTCAGCACTTTTTTTGCTGAAAAAGCACCCCCTCGCCTTATACTCAACTCAGTGTCAAAATTACATGTTCTCCCCTGCAGTACGGATGTTCTCCAGACTCTCCCGCTCATCTATGGTCACCTGCCGCCTCTGTGGGTAGTCTGATGACCCGGGCTAAGTACACTGCATTTCCGTTTCCAGGGCATTCCCATACTCCTCCTCCTGCATATTCTATGTACCCACCTTCCTCGTCCCACCTTCCTCCTCTGTCCTCCGTCTCCCTCCATCTTGTAACGCAACAGTAGAGCAGTAGATAAGTGCAGCATCTGGTATGAGTCCTCCCTCCGCAGGCAATGAAGTGTGTCTCGCAGCTCAGAAGGGCAGTGTCTTCAAAAACATTTAACCTACTGATGCCTCAATTAATGTAATGTTATTGGTATGTATTTTTATTTTTGAAATTTACCAGTAGCTGCTGCATTTTCCACCCTTGGCTTATACTTGAGTCAATAAGTTTTCCCATTTTTTGTGGTAAAATTGAGTGCCTCGGCTCATATTCAGGTCGGCTTGTACTAGCACATACATACCATGCAGCACTAGATTATTCTGCTGTGGAGTAGCACAGGGACAAAGCTGTGATTTATATGAATGTTACATCATGTTCCAGCTGTCCTTTGTGTTCATATGTAGTTGGTATTTGTGTTCCTTTTCTTGTGAAGTAAGATCCAACTGAGAAACATTAACATGGGCCAAGGATTTGCTCCATCTCCGTACCTCACATTAAGTGCTGTGTCTACTCGACCACACTGGACTTTATATAAGAACGTATCATTATTCCATACATCTTCCTCTTGTTTGCTATGCTGTGGCATTACTTAGTTCTGTTGACTATGGACTATAACCTCTTTATTCCATGGAACTGGTTGTGCAAGACAGTGGTTGTAACGGTTATCATAATAAGTTCTGTGACTATGGACTGTAACCTCTTTATTCCATGGAACTGGTTGTGCAAGACAGTGGTTGTAACGGTTGTCATAATATTTTAACCCATTGAACCTTAATTTAAATCTAATGAATATACCGATATACTTTTATTTAGGGGTTAATAATAGTATCATCCACATAAGCATTTTCCTTCTTTGCAATCTTTCTGATCCTAAGCCACAAGCTCCAACATGCTTGTTTCAGAGCAAGTCCCTAAAACCTGCCAAGTGCCTTCGAGACCTGGCACCCTCTGTGTCATTTCAGCACAGTGGGGTCTTGACTTAAGAACGGCTCGAGTTAAGAACATTTTGACTTAAGAACCACTCTCATAGGAAAATATTGACTTGACTTACATACTTAGATTTGAGTTAAGAACTGAAAAAAAAACACGTGAGAGGCAGGAAAAGTGCAAAATGTGAACTTTCAGTTAACTGTTGGCCAGTGAAAAGGGTGCCTGTCTGCTTCCTCACTCCTCCCAGCGTTTAGAGAGTGGATTGGGAGTCTTCAGACTGCGTGGTACTGCCTGGACTGTATTTTCCCTGCCTTCCCTGAACCTTTCTTGACCTAAGAAAAAAAGAAACAAAATATCCCCCTCTAGTGGTCGAAGGCAGAATAGCAGCTTCCCATTAGTTTCTATGGATGGAAAAGAGCAGATACGGATCAAATGGTTTTCAATGCATTCCTATGGGAAATGCAGATTTGACCTGAGAACTTTTTGACTTGAGAACCGCCTTCCAATACGGATTAAGTTCTCAAGTCAAGACCCCACTGTACACTCTCTCACACTCTC